GTGAGCAGTGCATAAAACAAAACCTTTCATATATTTTGGAAATTCGTAATGATGAGAGTTACTACTGTGATTAGCGTTGTTATTAGTGTAATTCGGACTAAGTCTATCGTTTGGAAAGCATCTATCTTCTGTAAAAAAGGATTTCACGTCCTCGAGTTTAATATTTTTAGGATAATTTAAACAAAAAAGTGGCAGCTCATAATAAAAGCCCGAGTTGTCAAAACTACTAAAAATTTGTCCTTTAATAAGATAAGGTTTCACGCATAAATTTATTAATAGTAAGGGAAATGTCACCAAGAAAACTATATATCTTACCGGTGGGAAAGATGACGTTTACACTTTCAAGTATGATTCGAGCTTGGTGCAAATCTGAAAATTCAACAGCTAACCGTAAGGCATCCCAGACCTCTTTATTGCCCCCCTTAGACTTACAATTTTCCCAAAATTGTTTTCTTTTTCTCAATACTTCACTCACGGTGACAGGAAATTCTGATTCCCACTCTGAAGAAAGTAATTAAAAATATGCTGCACACCTAATTATAAAACATGCTACCTACATTAAGGGCTCTTAAATCAAAACTGGCTATAGAAATTATTAGTGTAAAATAGCATGAAATTTAAAAAGGTTAGAAATATAGTACCCCTCTTTTTATTATGTTGTTTTTCTAAAATATTTTTTGACTTGAAATCAACTCTGGTATAGCAGCTTTGAAAAGCCCCCATAATAACTAGCTCTGTAATAGTAATAGTAGTATTTTTTGGTGGTGTGGACAGCAGTATACAACTAGATAAATTAAGCGACCACCAATTTTCATTATACAAGTAACGTAAAACCACTTTATTTGCTTAACAACGCAGAGACCATTTTAACGTTATACTGACTATTTTAAATTGGTTAAACAATATATAAAGAGGGATGAAATCGTCAAATGAGATTTTGATGAATTACTTTATTTGGCAGAAGTTCTTAAAAAATTTAATCTTCCAATCAGAAAATATGCAATACTAAAAAATTATCCCTTTTCTATAGCCACTTGCTCTCGTACGGTAGTTTGATTATATTAACTGTAGCATCTTTGACAGAGATGGGTTAGAAGGAGGAAAACAGAAATAAATTTATTAAATTAATTTTTTTTTCACCATTAAAAGACTTGAGGTAGTAGGCACGTTTTATTTAAAGGTATTTTACATTAATGGAGATTATACAATGCGAGTCTGCTTTTTGTATAAGTCGTTGTTAGCTATATTTGGCACACACTTTTATGAAAATTCCGCATGTTTCACGAACTAAAAAAAAGGCTAATCGAAGCTAGCAAGTTACATAGTATTTGGGAAGAGTGGCTGCCCTTTATACAATGTCAACAAACGAAATACTAAAGTTACAGAGGTAATTATTTCTTGGACCTTTAATGGGGTATGAAGGCTCCTAATTAAAAGCATAATTAATGTCAATTTTTTATTCAACTATTAAGTACAAAATTTTAAATTTTTAATATAATTTTCCTTTATTAATAACATAGAAGAATTACTAATTTCGAGTAATATATTAGTTGTGTTCTTATAATTTAAGATTCCAGGTGTTATTAGTAACCCTCTACAATACCAATCCAGTCGTTTTTTAGTTTTTTTGTTTCTGTTTTGTTTTGAAATTCAATCTATTAGTAAGCCCTGCAGACGAAAATGAACAGCTGCAAGATAAAGAGGTGCTAATTAAGAGATAAATCCCTACATATTTTTTTTAGGGCGTGTCATACTACGGCCGATCTTCTAAGGGAACTTAAGCTGCATAACCTATATTCCCTTCTTATACAAAGGTTAGGGCACGAGTACCCACCAGTATATGCTCCTTATAGAGCTATAATGAGTATCCTGAAGGACTGAAAAAGTGGGAAATATTCGGCCAGATCTTCCACCATTTGGTCTGGGGTGGTAGAAAAACGCTAAAAACCACCACCGAATGAGGCAGGCCTGGCACAGACCCGAGACCACCCGGAGACACCCTCTATGAGGCCCTCACTTAGAAGATAGAAATCCCTAATTCTTTATTTATTTATTTTTTTTTTAAAATTGTACAGTCGCTATGCATAGCACATCTTTGCTGCTTAATCCTTGTTCTCTCTTAAACTATAAGGGTTAAAGAAGGATCCAGACCTCCCGAAGAGTCTTCAGCTACAATGTTTTTGCGTACCCATGGGCAAGTTAGAGGAAGAAAGAAGTACGCAGCAACGACCAAACCAAAAAAAAACGACTTTAAAATCAAGAATACTTAGAGTATATTAAGTAAATAAGATCAGTAAATAATAATAATAATAATAATAATAATAATAATAATAATAATAATAAAGTGTAACGTAAATATTATAATATAAATGAGTTAACGACAAATGAGTGGGTGATAAATCAAGGCCAAAGGAAGCGGTCTTAAGAAGTGACTAGGTCTTTCATACCTGTTATACTGGTCTGGGATATAACTAACAGCGGTGGCTAATGAACTATTGGTATGTCCACTGTATTCTTTATAGCATTTAGTTGCAATTTGTAAGAACAAGGTCTTGATTGCTTTCATTTGGCAGTCACGATGTAACTAAGCACTACGTATGGATCATGGATCATTAATGGTTACTCTGAGGAGTTAGTTTCGAAAATCTGCAGCCTAATTATATGACTCTCGGTAGGACCAACAAACGGAAGCATTCACACCATAATTGGCGAGTAATGGATTTATATAAAAGTAGCTTGTTTTTAAGGTGAGGTTTCCCGTGCCTACATATTAATGGGTATAGGACATTCTTGGCAGCGTTCATTTATCTCAGGAAATACTCAACATGGGCGTTCCAGTTAATTTACTATTTATATTAATCCCTAAGGACATAACGCGAGAACTCCACGTGATAACAATTTTAAAAATATATGTAGAGTTTGATTTTCAATAATAACCCTTCTTTTTTTTGAAATTATCCTTTCTGCACTCTTAGAAGCATTGATAGTTACTTCCAATTAGTAAATCAGGTTTCCAGTGTACAACTAAAGTTTTAAGTATTTAATAGTCAGTGCAGTGGAATTAGAGCGCAGAATATAGCTTTGTAGTCCGCATATTAGGCAACTGATACGGTAGTTAATCTGTAGAAGTCTGCCATATAAATGCGAATAAAAGCGGGTGATAAAAGTGATCCTCGAGGGACTCCAACGTTAAATCTCCCAGATTTGAATTAACTGTTCCTATACGGACTGTGAATTTTCTATGTAATAAATAACTTTTTGTCATCTGGACTAAGGGTCAAGGAAAGTTAAACTCATCCCTCCTACAGACAGTTCCTCTGTGCCAAACTATATCGGAAGCTTTCTCAACATCTAAAAATACTATTGCGGATTATTTTCGATCGTTAAAGGCTTTAGTAACATTCTGGAACTCTTAGAATCGGTTGAGTGTTTTTAACGGAAACCACTTTGGCACTAGAATTATGTTCTTTTTTTCTTTCGCAAAGTTTTTTTATCTTTCGAGTGTCACAGCCTCCGCTACTTTGCCGATGCTGGATAGTAAACTTATGGGCCGAGAGCCCTTAATAAAGTTTCCTGGTCTTTTTAATTTGGAAATACTTTATTAAGTGTAAATGTATATATATTTATAGATATATGGTGCGCTAGTGAACTAATCATACATTTATTAGATTAAATGCTTTAATTAAATAACATTTAGTCTTTTAATCTAAAAATTACATCATAGCAATTTACTAGTGTATTAAGCCTTCAAACTTGGTTACCGAGGAATTCTTAAAACAGGTTGTTTTATTTATCTATTATTTGGTAAACGTTTTAACATATGCAAAGCCTTATTATCCTTTGAATTTAAATAATTGCCATCATATAAGATACACACAACTCGAAAAGCAGAATTTACCAAATATAGTTCTTTTAGTTATGCCTTGGCTTCTAGTACTGTAATAATTGTGGTGTTCCCAGACGCCTAACTCTAATGACCCAACATTCTTTAAAGCGCCTTAACTTTTGGCCAGGACGTCTAAAGCTTGAGCGATATTGAAGACCAGTAATGATTAAGAGGTAGAAGTAAGGGCAAAGGGGAATATTTGAGGTAGAATGCAAACAGCACAGGTGTACAGTACCTGAGGCTACGCACTTGCCCGGGGTTAAAATATATCTCGGGTATAGTGCGAAGCATTTTAGTATAAGATCTCCATTTTGCCTATTTTTCTCTTCTAGTTAATTAAGAGATACCTTAGTATAAACGGAAGTACTACGTTAAGGGCAGTCATAAATAACAATTAAAATTGCTTTTACACCCTAAATTAAAGTAAGACGTCATTGTCGACTTCAGCTAAGAGTAATAACTTTTTTAAATTGATCATTGTAAACCTCATATTAGTGGTTAGTAATGAGCAGAAAGAATTAAGGGGACACCTTAGTGAGATTATGTGTAAAGAACTGCAAGCTTCAGAAGATGAAATGGGTTTTAAGCTGGAAGAATGTCGTAAATGCAACTATTGCGAGCAAAGCCTTTTAGTAAGGCGGAGGGGCATAGAGTATTTTGTCGCTGTTAAGTTTCTTACGAAACTTAAATAACATTTTTAATTGACTTAAAAAAATGGTTAGCTATAGCCATCTGTGTCTCTATTGATGGATGGTGGGTTTCCTGTATTACTGGAAAGTAGAGTTCTTCTTCGAGTTGGAGCTTGAGAGTGCTTGGAAGTTCTTGCTGTTAGTATAAAGTTTGTTTAAGAGCATTATATTTTAATTTAAATAAATTTCCATGATCGCAGTTTTTATTAAAGTCATCGGTTAAAAACCATATAGTGGCCCACCCTTTAACAACAACAAAAGATTTAAAACTCCGTTACGATTTTACAATTCTGGAGATCGTAAGGTTCTCTGACGATGAACTTATAGGAGTTAAAATATATAAAAAGTAGTAAAGAAAAAAAAGTTAAACTATTTAACTTAAAGCTAAATAGTTAACGGAGCTAAGATCTTAGAGCAAGAGCGGAGTTAATGCACAACTATATCAAAGCTGCCCACAAACGGAGACAGTATGTAAGGAAAGAATGTAGAATAGGTATAGAACTTAGATATTGGATGTAGAAGCAAAAGTAACTTGAGGAGAAAATATGCCACAGGCGCCTTACATAGAGAAAGTAGCAGAATCAGTTTCCTCACTCTAAGGTTAGAAACCTTAAATATCTGTTTAAGCGCTAAAAACTCTAACTATAAAATTATCATGCATTGGTGGCATTTAACATAATATTTAATGAAAAATGTGATAGGGGAGCACGCTAGGGAAACATCAATTTTAGAATTTTATGTACTGACTTATAAACGTGAAGGAAATGGAGATGAAACCAAGTGCGGTAAAAGGAGGCCTTGAATGAAGAAAAGTTTGTTAAAGTAGCGGTTGAACAATGGTGCCGAATTTTGATGTTAAGAGGGAGAGGGGCAAGTGAAATTGTGAATTTGAAAAAAACCTTATGGCTTTGTGGTGTTCTGGAATAAATAGGAAGGACGGGACAAATTTGGCTAAAAAGATATACAACCTTCAATGGGGCCCTTGTAAAAGAAGCGTCATAAAAATAGAGCCATTAAAGGTTAAACTGAAAGATAAGATTCTGTCAGCTTGGCCAGAGTACGAGATTAAAGATAGGAATAAGGTTTTGTTATAATAAAAAATGTGAAAAGCTATTAAAAGTCGAGCTTCTGGAGACGACCAATAGAGAGCGGAACATATGCAAGTTGTAGTGGAGAAACCTAACGCAGAACAAGCCAAGTGGGAGAGGTGCACCAAGAGCCTGATATATTAACGAGGATGCGCGACGCCTCTCAAGTTCTTAATAAGAGATGTATAATAGAGATAGAGGACACCTGATAAAAGAGACAATTTTTTTTTTGACAGTTGGAGGTAAGAATATTTTTAGTTCATTGGATAACGCAAAGGGATTTATTAGAGGAATATTACACAACTTCTAGAAATTCTTTGCGTTTACAATGCCAGACGGAAGTAGGATGCAATAGACAGTGTTACCGTTCGGCTCTTTCAATGCACCATTCGACTATTAAATAAGTATGTGTATCATTACTAACGTCTGGTGGAATACGCCTGTTCATGCGGGTGATTCTCTGGTCGCATGTGATTCCAAAGAAGAACACTTTAGATTATGTGAACTTGCGGAAAAGTAGAAAACCTATAACATTATTCAGGTTTGAAAAGTGTTGCTTTGCCAAGAACTGGGTGAAGAGTTGAGGAGAGGACCTACGTATCTTTTGCTTAAACGTAGGAAAAAACCAAGAACAATTGCACCCTGCGCAACTAATAGGCCTCTGCGACTGATGACCATTGCATCTTAATTCGCGCTGATTTTTTGAATATGTTAATAGGTACCAGTGGGTTCAAGATCTTACATACGAATTGTGGATAGGCGCACGCTCCCATGACCGTGCTTGGGCTTTGGGCACACACTTATCGTTCGTAAACCTCTACACACTTAAATTTATGTGTACACGAATAATGTTGAGATGACTCTACAGACTACACCAAATAATAAGTTATTAGCAGAACTAAACGGTCTGCTCTCGGTTTTATTGAGTGATCTGCACCAATGGATAATAAAAAAATTACCTTTCGTAAAACACCTAGTAACTTAAAGCCACACTGTTCTAAAATTTAAATATAGTTAATAAATTTGCTACAATAATATTTTTATAGAAAAATAAAAGTTTTTAAAGTTCGTATTTAACCATTACATTGACTATCGAAGATGCCCTACCAATGAGACAATCATTCAAAAATCATATAACGACTTTATGCGCAGGATTTTTTCAGAGCAAAATGCGGATAAGTTCTTAGCGGTGTTGACATCTTGACGAAAGCAAAATAGCATAAGGCGAGTAATATTTTCAAGAGAGTTGTCCTGCAGAGATGAAGGCTCACTCGAAACCACAGAAAACGTCGTCATAAGTTGCGAAAAAGCCGTGACCAGTCTGTCAGTATGAATAATTAACAAAGATAGAGCAAGTTTCTCTTACAGTGAGAGGCTAAAAGAAAAATGATATAGTCCAAAAGTTGTATTCTTTATGTACATACTTTTTAAAAGCGTTATATACTTTTTTAAACTCTTTACTTACAATTCAAGTATATGTGATAAGTCAAACTAAACACTGCAGTGCGAGTTTTAGAGAAAGAAAGATATGCAATAAGGATTTGCACAACACCTGGAGGAGTCGGAGTATTCGAAAACAGGAGGCAGTTGGTGTAAAGGTCGAAGTGTTTCTACAATTATACTTAAAAGTTCTAAAAGATGCTGAAAAGCGGGCCTCCAGAAGAGTAGAAAAGAAGAATCTAGTAAGAATATAATATGTATACACCTATAAAAGGTGAGTGTATTCAAAAATAACCCAAAGAATTAAGTTTCGTAATATACGCACCGGCAACTAATTTTAAGTGCCGCAGAAGGGATTCGGGAGTAAAGTCAATTAATATCTACAGCAAAGAGCATACATAACAATTAAGTTGTCGAACAGACGACATAAGCACTACAACGTTCTTAACTATTATAAACTACAAGCCAATAAAAAAACTAATTCACAGCCGCGTATAACAACATAATATATAAATTAATTTATACCAAACTGGACTTGAGGCACAAAAAGTCGCGCTCAGCAACCTCAAAACTCGCATTTGCACATAATTTAATATCTTCGTGTACAATTTCCATCATCTCCAGTTCTTTATTACTACTTTTATAATCTCCATTAGTATCACTTTCTACTTCGTCAACATCAATTTTTTTAATTTTCTCAGCAAAAGAATCTTTTAGGTGCTCCATAGAAGACCACGCGCAATTCCTATTAGTATGTAATAATTAAAGAATTAATGTTAGAAGAGACACCATAACTTACCGCGTCATAGTATCGACTGGAAGTAACTCGATGATAGTCTGACACTTACTTATGAGAGAAAACAGGAAGGATAGCGTGAAGGACTCCGTCGATAACAACATGCTAAGAGAATGTAGGGTACGATGAGGAGCGACAACAAACACAAAGTTATACCGCTCGTTAAAGGCGACGCTTCTCAGTAAATACTGGAGTCTGAGATTATCAGGAAAAAGAGTGCTGGCGCTCTCAGCGGCCTTCTGTAGCTCGGAAGTGACATCCGCGGTCGCTTCCAGCTCTTCGCAGCTTCCCTACAAATAGACTTAGTAGTGGGAGAATAAAAGAAAAAAGGAGCTTGAAAAGTACACTGGCAACCGAGACACAGAAGGAGCACCAACGCAACACCTGGAGGACTTGCTCCAACGGGACCCTGATTGTGTGCGGTTCAGAAGAGACCCCATTGGGAGAGGACAGAAGAGAATTTTTTTTGGGGGTGGGTCGAACACGTGATCTAAGGGCGTTATAGAGAAGAGTTTTCAATTGATTTATTGAGGAGATGGCGACTCGCTTCTTTTTATCGTGTTGAGGAAACGACTTGACGGCCTTCAAAATATTTTCCATGCACTGAACCTGATTGAGGGTGATGTAAACATAACAAATAAAAATAAATAAATAAATAGACCGTTTCGCAGTGTGACAGCGGGCTCTTTGCTAAGGCATCAAGCGCGTTTTTGGCTAAAAGGAAGGTGCGCGTCTCAATAACTTTGATGTCCTTCAGAAATGAAAGACTGTCAGCATCGAGCGAACCTTTACCACTAAAAAGTTTTTCCGCCGTTCTAAAAGTTGTCGAAGTCCAAAAAGAGCCCGACTTTAAAATTTTTTGGCTGTCTATTTGCTTTAATAGAGCAGTTTCGAGGGTATAAGAAGAAAAGCAACTCCAGCACTCAGAAAGCAAAAAAGAGGGGTCGCTGCGCTCAAAAGGTGGTGATACCTCCAGTTTAGAAATGGGCGCTCCTACTTCAATGCAAGACGGCTCTAAGTTGATGCCTTCCACAGTCAGACAATTATAACCGAAACATATGCAAAACATAACAAAGCTCCACCTCTCAAAGTTTTTAACAGAGTTGGCAGGGTCTCAACATCGCAAACTTGGATCCCTTTAAAAGCCCAAAAGTGAGCAATACCGATAACGTTACAGTCATTAGCTATTATTAAGCAATATGCGTAATGGCATTTACTACTATTAGCTAAGTATCTAATTATACGCGAAAACTGAATTTTGCAAACTTCAGGCTAAAAAAGTATTTAAGATGTTTTTCAAAAATTTAAAAAAGAAAACTAGAGGAAAACCAAACAAAAAATGACTAGAAGAAGTCGGTAAAACGGCTTTGAAGCTACACTGTTTAAGTTTCGGTGGTCTCTCATAAATATAGTTAATCTTTTTCTAAGTTAAAGTAATATTAAACAATATTTTCAGGGAACTTCAGAATCAAAAATAACTGGGTTTAGGTATAGAAAGAACTGCACTGTAGATATATAAGGCAAAAAGTAGAAAAAATAATAATACTCATTTTACTAATTTATAACACATACAAGCCGCAATAATCATGGGAAGGACAGGAAAAAAATAAAAATTAAATATATATTAATGTCCAAGAAGCTAAAGAAAAAGTGGTAAATCCAGAAAAAAATAATGATTTAGTATAACAACGCTTTATAAAAAGAAATTATGTATTAGTAACAGTAAAGAATTACCATGAACCAAGGCCTTCACGCTCAAGTTTCTATCGTTGGTCACAAGAATTACAGTTTCTGGTACAGCAACAACACTGTTGGCTTTATTTGAGCTTTGAAATGATTTCTTTTTCAAAAAATAAAGACAACACTGAAGAATGCGATCATCGGCACTCTTAGAAACAAAGAATATCGAATACCATATTGACAACTTATAAATTGTATAGACAACCTCAACCGTGCAGTCAACCAATTGTTCTGTTTCATAAATAGTTTGACCCCTTACTAAAGGATCTTTAACTTGAAACCACTGAAGCAAGGTACGAGTGGCCTAGAAATAGAAATTATATATTTTGTAGAAAGAGTGTAGGAAGTCCATTACATACATACATAAGAACAGTTATACAAATAAGAGGAAGGGGCCATACCATCCTCGCCTGAACGGCAACGTCCTCTTTACGTGAAGATTTAAGTTTATCTAATTCTGTTAAAACTATCCATGGAATAATTAAAAGGGTTTTTGAGTTTTTCTTGGGAACAAAAAGTGAAGCCTTTAACTTTACAATTAAGGACAAGTGTGAAAGCAAAACATTGGTATCCCAAACAATGAATAAGTCGGATGAGTCATTTTTCAAACTAACTTGTTCACTTAGATCCTCAGAGTGCTAAAATTAAAAATATTATTCAAAAATATATAAATTTTTACCATAGTTTGTACCAACTTTTTAACGTCATAATTAGGTGAAGGTAAAGAATGAAGCCAATCTCGTTTGTAATCACTTTGTTGAGCTTCTTTCATAGGAACATCCGAATTCATCTTTATAAAAGTATTAGATATTCCAAACTTACATCTTAAAACACTTCCACAGGAATCTGGAGAATGACTATAATCCCGCCGGTCAACCGGCTCACGGAATAGCTTCGAAAAACTAGGATCATGTGACCGAAGCCCTTCACTTTTTCGTTACTCCCTTATCTTGACGCCCCTCTTGCATTTTACTATTGTTCTAAAGTGTAGTGGCGTCTTGAATTTTTTTTATTTTATACGAAGGTCAATATACCCAGAGGCCCTTAAACCGTTGCTTCACTGCTAAAAGAACTTTTAATTACACTCATATAAAGACAAATTATGATATTTTAAAAAGAAAAAAAAAACTATTTAAAACGGTTATCAAGACGTTCCACCTTTTAGTATTTTTTTGGCAGCATCAAATACATATTATCTTCCAAGACAGGCCTAATAAAATTTGTTATCTTTAATTAGAGTTCACTGGAGGTCAAAGTTTACGTTGACTTTTGACGAATGAACGTTGTTCCAACGGACTAATCAAATATTATTTTGTTTTTATAATAGGTACTTCATCTGCTTGCTTTCATTATATAATTGCCTGTAGTGTGCTAGTTGAAGCTTACGAACTTTTTTGGGGTGGGGGGGGGGTGAAATATAGAATACTATAGAAGTTACCTACATATACTGCTTTACTACAGATATTGCTAACGTGAGAATCAAAATTGACCCATTCATTAAACCTCTTACGCTATAGATATGCAACCAGGAAAGTTAGATAGAAATTACTGTTGGTACCCGAGTACGTGACTTTCTGCCCCTTTAAAATGAGGTGTTCACCGAATAAAATTAGTGGCCAAATTTTGCAAGGAAGACAATAACGCATCATAGTAACAATACTTCCTCCTTTTTTAATTTATATTTAATTAAAAGTTTAAAAGGTTGTCCGTTTATATAAAAGAACGTCTTTGAAGAAAGACTCTTAGACCATAAATTCACTGTAACGGTTATAACTCTACAAAAACGTTAAAATTAAATTTTGTAATTGCAAAGGACTTAATGTACTGTATTGTGGTACAAAATCCAAAAGCTGTCATATAAGAACAGATTTTACTATACTAATAATTTTGAACGGATCTTGATTTAGTTAAAATAGCTGTAGCAGTATTATACCGCCGAGGTCCGACTTCAATAACAGATTAAACAACTTTAAATTTTGTAAATAAGTTATGGTACAAAAGACATTTTAAGATGCAGAACTGGCTATCTCTTTACGAAAAAGATAATTTAACGACGAAACACTTTAATGGCCTCAACCCAGTTAACTTTACAAAAAAGTCTTTGGCCCGCCAACTAAATCAGTGCTTAAATTGAAATTAAAAAAAAAAATTAAAACTTTTGTACTATGCTCAATAAGCATTATCGACTTCTGCTAAAATAAGAGATTTTGCCGACGAATAGCTGTTTTCAAAATAGCTTGGCAGCTGGAACAAAGATTTTTTTATCTATAAGTGAGTAAGAGAAGTCGTCTACATGGTAACAAGTCATATAATTTGGAATTGGAATCAGGGAAGGCCAGGAGCATCGGGACACCCGACTTGAGAGTTGCAATACTTAAGTTTGCAGTCAGAATAATAGTCTTCACTTATATATAATGTAAATACCGTGTAAATTCTCGAACATTAATATTATTCCTCTGGGTCATCAGAAAAGGAGCGCTTCTGTTCTTGTTTAAGTACATGCTTATTTATTATTGAAAAGCCTATTAAGTTGCTGCTTCGTTGAGTGTTGTCTGTCATAATAAGCTATTTTGAATACAAGATTATCAACAGTAACTTATTATGGGAGGATAAAAGTTACTATAATACTTATAATTAATAATTAAAAAACTTTAAAACAGTTGCTATTAACAAAGTTATTTATAAAAAAACTAAATATGGTTTTTTCAACGATATATTTATACCACCCTTTCTGTACGAATTTTTATAATTCAGAAAAAGAAGTTTTCAGTTCTTTAAAACAACTCGTGATAGGTAGGTAAAAGGCAAACTTTATCGAATATAAAAAAACTGTTCACGCGGAAGCAAAAAAAACGAAGAGATCGTATTGACAGACAAGTAGCTTTGGTCACACATTCTTACAAGAGTCCAAGCTCTTCATGTATATTTATCGTTAACATTTTGTCCTTAACTATTTCTAGTTTGGCTCCTGTTTAGCCCAGCTGGCAACTATATTAAGATTTAAACTTTTTATGGCCATAAATAACCTGGCGACTATCTCACACATAAAAAATTCTTCAGCTCTTTAAGATTAAAATAACTAAGTTTTTTATATTTTATATACAATATGCAAGCTCAAAGAGGACGCCATCGACATAATCAAATCTTTAGGCCGTATATCTGCGTTTTTAGCTAGTTCTGTGTGCAAGTATTCTTTCAATTCTTGCCCTAGTAGTAGCAAATCAGGGCACGTGCGCTGGTGTCTAGGCTAAAATGTTATGTACAAACTTTATGATGTTTATTTTCAACTCAAAGAAGCAAACTTGCCTTTAATCATAAAACTATTACAACAACTCAAAGCTCTGAATGAATAAAAAGCTCTTCGGAGGCCTCGGAGGGTTTGGGGCAAACGTACGGAGTTTCGAAATCAATTTCGTAAAAACAGCGCTTTCGTTCTTTTATGGATAAAAAGCGGTCCTCTTTTCCACAAAAAAGTCTGTTTAGTTGAGAGAAGATAACACAGCAGCAGAACTATATGGGGAGTCGAGAGTCGCACTTTACATCAGTGGAACGATGCAAATCACCGCTGCAGGGCGCGCCATGGCTATACCGCATGACCTTCAGGGGACCATCCTCACCATCTATCCGCAACAGTCAGAGGCAAGAAAACAAACTTATGATAGATGAAAAGTCCCTTCAGAAGGGCGGTCTTCCCAGGAAAAGTTTTTTCCAGCACTCACTACTCCAGGATGCTGCACAACTTCTTTAAACATGCACAACTCATAACTGAATTCTCCGTCGCTCCCTGCAAAAGACTCCTACAGCTCAGAAGCCAAAAAATGTTTTTAACAAAAGTAATTAACCAGTGAAACATTCACGCGCAAGAACACGAAAAATATTATTTTCACCTGAAATTATAAAGAATTTGAAGATATAAAATTGTTGTAAAGTAAAAAATTTAACTTCTTTTATACGTATAATAACGAACCGAAATCGATAGAAGAGAGTTGTTGAAGATCAGCAACTTTTGCCTTTAACTCATTAATTTCGACTTCTAAATCATTTTTACACGCTCTTTTTTCTTTTTCAACATTAAGTAAAAATTTAGTTTCTAAAAAATAATACCAGAGTTATATAATAACTTTGACAATAATAGAGATACCGTTCGAATAATTTAAATGCTCGTCCAGCTCCTGCGGCACAAACTTTTTTTTACCCCAATAATCTCCATCCGAAATGAAGTTGTCAAGTGACGCAAGATCTTCAGCATCTTCTACGTCTTCTAATATAACAGTAACTTTAATAAGTGAAGAGCAAAACAACAGAATTAAAAAACAATTCTACTACAAGTAAAGAAGATTAAAAATAACAAAGTTCGAAGCTAATTATAAAAGTAAAAAAAAAAAGTAGTTCAAGTTGGTATAAAGTGAAAACTCAGGAATAAATTGTAAGCTTAACAAATAGTCAATAGGCAAAGGTTCGAATAGAATAAAAATTAATTTTTAAAAAGGTTAATATTTTACGGCTAAACAAAGATTATTAATAATGCTGTAAAGTAAATATTATAAGTATAGAGCAGTGTAGCAATAAAAAGTAAAAAAATATAAAACTAGATTAAATACCACTTATAAACGAATCTTCTTCGTCATTACCATTATTAGCCAAGTCTCCCTTTATATATAAATTAAAATTAGCCGTGTTGCTAGCATGAGGGTATAAGAATTAAAACTGATTTTATAGGATCTGATGTATTTTCTGTTGGCTCGGTTGGCTCTTCAAAATCTCCGTTTACTGAAATTTTAATAACATAATACTAACGTTGAAGAGTATATAAATTATACTACGCGATAGCAACTCTCTTTCTTTGCTAACAGCATATTTAGCAGCTTCAAGAGCGGACTGATGATTGCTGGCTGCTACTGCAAGCTCACGCTCCTGCAGGCACGATAAAAATTTTCACTGGCGCTAAAGTCTAAACTATCGACCTTTTGGGTTAATTGTCCTCTAAAAGTCTGAAGATCAAGTGCATCTTTTCGTAAAAGTTCTTCTGCTAACACAATAGCTTTCTCTTTAAGTGACTGCGCTCCCCGAAGAAGTTCCTGAAGCTTATAGGCGTTCTCTCTCTAGCAAATAGAAAGTAACCATTCCAATATTATAGTTTTATTATTTAGACAAGTGCCTCTTGTTCTAAACAAGAATTTTGGCATAAGTCTTCAAATTCGTCGGAGCCATCACAGCAGTCGCAAACCAAATCATCCACAAAAGATGAAGGTATAATTTTAGGATTATGGCCTTCATTATTACAATAAAAGACTCCGTGAGGACCTTTTAAAATTACTATAAGGACCTAGAATCCGAAAAACAAAATAAGCCCACAGGCATTGGTGCCGGGCTCGTCAGTTCCATCTACGCAGTCGCAATAATTGTCGTTAATAACTCCTAGATCGTGACTACTGTTACCGTCGCACACGAATTTATTATTGCCAACGTATTTGCTTACATCTATAAATTTAAATAACCGTTACTTACACACGTAATAAAAGTAGAGTAACCTTCAACTTTAATGCCTCTCACATGGCAAAGAGAAGGAAGCTCAAAATATAAAAGGAGGATTAAAATACTATAAAATATATTCATGAACGTAGATCCCTAAAGAAAGAACATAAAGTAGGGTATTTCACACTACGACGGAAAAGGGGAAGGCGCCGGTTTTACAGAAAGTCAGAACAAAGGTATTTTAATTTCATTTGCACGGTCATTAAGGGGCAGAAACTCATCAAAGGTGGTCGAGTCCTAACACGAGCGTAGGCATGGGGAACGCAAATTTATCCGAATTCCCTTATTCTAGGCCAGATGACCCGACTACACCAGAAGGAAGCACTGATATATCGGACACTGCAGTATTAAAAATATATATATACATGACTGCAAGTATTAATTCTATTCACGATTTATCCTCCACCAAACTTCGATTCATATTGAGCCGAGAGATACTGTTTTTTCCTGGAAGATTAAAAACTAATGAAAATAATTTGTTTACCAATTTTTTAGACAATATTGGACTAAAATCTATATAAATATACTTTTCACTCGCCTTCAGAGACAGGTATCGATGATGCAGCCAATCATCTAGAATAACAATCCTAAATGCTTAAGATTTGTCTCAACTCCTAAGCGTTCTAGATCCTTTAATTATTAATGTACCTCGCTATTTAGCAAATGATTATAAGAGGATACTGCCTTAAATTAAAATCTATAAACAGGTTTTTTTAGGATCAAAAAAGCCTACAACAAAGTTAATGATTTATTGAAGAAGGAAAATTAGTACAAGAGCCCTTTCGTCTTCTTTTGACTTTGCTACTAGCGAGGAACGAAAGCTTATCATACTAACTTAGCCAATAGTGTCAACATTTTACCAATGGTACATACTTTCAACCAGTTTGAGAAGTAAGCATATTTGTTAGTGTTATTATCTGTCCTAATGGAAATTTAAAAAGGATCTCTGAGCAAATTACTAGAGAGAGAGCAGAGTTGTACTTTACTTTTATCCAGAGCACACCGCAGGGAGCGCGATTATATACAATATCTTGTAAATAACACTATTAGCCTTCATTGCCACTGCGAGATTAGCTAAGCCACTCAGTAACTATGTCAGCTTCCCTAGTACAGACAGTTCAATTAGTAATTTATTGTTTAAGGTTAACTAGCCTCTTCCTTTGGCTAAAGATATAACTGGTGCAGCGGCCCAGGGGTAGGGCATTTTGTTTCTGCCATCACTCATTGCCGGAGCCTTCATAACGTTTGCTTTCGACTTTGCTACTCGTATAGAAGGTTATCTTACTATAACAACTTAGTCAGTCTTACCAAGAATTCACCCAAGGGCCAAGAGGAACTGCTAGTCAATTGCCAAACAACACACCACTGACGCATAAAAGTACCAGGATTATGGATAATCTCAATGTATACTACCAAAGAGCTGATTAAAGTTGTTACACTCACATGAGGTTTTGCAATTTTTAAACTCTCTAGAACCCTGTGCTGAAAGCAGCTCGTGACTTTACGTGGTAGCGTACGACCCTTTTGTAAAAGGACCGTTAGGAAGAACTCTATCACATGGGTAACCTGTCGTCTAATTAACACTCTTAGCAGGATACCTCTGGCATCCAGTTTGATGCTTGAAAGAATATGTCTAAAACAACCTAAGCTAAGATAGAACCATTATCAGGACTGATGCGCCAACATTAAATAACTTCATTACAACTGTTTAGAATTGAATCCCCTTTCAGCACGAATTAAAAATTACTTTAATTGAGTTAAGTATTTATTGTTTATTAGGTACCTTTAAAATCTATTGATACAATATATAGGTATTACATATTTTTTTTAAAAACAGTGGTTCGTTCATTTTTTTTACTTTCTTTCCTTTTTCGGATTTTACCGTGTCTGTAGTGTTTTAGTTTTCCGTTAGTCTAGAGGAACAGCTTGTTAATGTAACATTTTAGTCTAGAGGGCGTTATAGTGGGGGCTAATATAGCTTAGTAGAGGACAACTAAGTAAATACTTAGTTAACTAATTTCATTGAATACTTTAAACACAAACTAGGGGGAAAAAAGCTAAAATGTTTAATGCTGCGGATTAACGTTATGGAAATTTTAAAGACTCCTCAGCCCTTAATGCGATTTATAAAGCATACCACCTTATTTTTAAAAGAAAAATGGTGTTGCACATACTGCCAGAGATAGTTCTAACATATTTGCAAAACATTTGTCCTCGTTTCCAGAGAGTTCCATGACGACGCACGAAAGGTATCTCGGCTTAAAGGGACTGATGAAGAAAAAAGGGGAAGCGGTTCATTTAGTGCCCCGTAGAGGAAGGGTATATATACCCTTAAATAGGGCAAGCATAAAACACGTGCGGTACATAGTCACGTGGTACAGTAGACAGAAACTTGATTTACTAAAGTTAACCAACAGCGACCTTCAACTATAATTTAGACGATCTTTATTTTGTTAGAGGCAAAAAATATGAAATATAATCAACTCGTTGAAGATCAGGAAAACTCAAAGACCAGATGGTCTATCCTACTAACTCTAAAATATTTTACTACTAAGGCTATTGCCTATGTAAACGAACTTTCTTAATTCGATGTTACCTATAGCTTACTTTCCAAATTTTTGAACTTAGCAGAAGTTGTTTTATTTAGAAATTAAAGATAAAAAGGAACTTATTCGCGCATAAGATTACTTTCCTGCATTGGTAAAGTTGCTAAGGATGTGATACTAGCAAGCTAAAAAAATTTTGCGTAAGAAAAAATCATTATTCCATAATGTCAGTTGGTTTCCATGAAATTCACTACACATCTCAACAGATTCTATGACATTCAGAATGTGTTACTGAAAAAAAGTATACCGCAATATATTTTAGACGTTGAGATAGCCTTCGATAAAGTTTGTCATAAAGGACGTGTCTATAAGATCGCCAAGTTTAACTATCCTATCCTTAGTTCATACGACACAAAATTGTTCATTAGATAGAATATCCACAGTTTGTATAGAAACATTGAAGACTCTCAAGGATCATTTTTTTCGCCCCTTCTATTCGCGAGTTATATGGCAGAACGGCAAGCACTACCTTGCAGCTCTAGATCGACGACACTGACTATTAAACACTTACGTCTTCATTAATGCAGCTATAATAATTTTAGAAAAAGGGTTTACATTCAAAACCGACAAACTCTACATATATTAAAAACTGTTATTCCGTGGGGCTGTCAGTTAAGTACTTAGGAGGTTTTACAAATTATTAATAACTTGGAAGACTCAGTTTAGTATGTTTTGAGAATAATGGATGCTGCCAAGTTTGTAGTGTACCCATTAATATGTAGACCCAGTAAACTTTGCATTATATATTAGCTGCTTTTATATAACTTATAATTCTCCCAATTAAGTTGAATGCTTTTGTTGTTGGTCCTACTCTGTGCGTTATATATGTAGACTGCAGATTATTTAAAACAAAAACCGGGGGGAGTGCACTGGCGAAAAGCATTTCAAACCACCCTATCTGAAAAGTCAAATCTCCAAAAACTTAGTTCTGAGGTGGGTAACCAGGAGGCTACCACGTACTGCACTTACCTCAGAAAAACGGAGCATCAATGATACTTCTCCAGGAGATGTACGGGCACCTACTTGCGCCCAAATCAAGACTAAACTTTCCGAAAAAATCATTGATAATAATAAACAAAAACCACAGAATATTCACAGATTCTTCATGGTCCATACGTAATGCTTGGTTACTTCGTGACTGATAGATTTGTTCTTACAAAAAATATAGTGAACATACCAATATTTTGTTAGCGACTGCTGTTAGTTCTAACCCAGACTGGTATAACCGGTATAAAAGACCTAAATACATCTTAAGGGCGCTTCCATTGAGCCTCGATTTACCACCCTAATTATTGTTGTTAATTCTTAATATAATATAAACTAATTTTCACTTTATTATTATTATTATTTAATGATAAATAATTTATGTATAATAATTACATGATAAGTAATCCTGCCTGCAAAATTGTAATAGAATTTATGAGGGTGTATGCTCGCAACCATCCAAAGACTGAAAGAGATAGTCGAGATTATACGTAAAGCTATAATACTGCGACCTTGTGCATCTTTCTCAAGTCGTTTTTATTCCTTACCATGCAGAAAAAGCAAATGCTTCTAAAAACAAACCTGTTTCAAACCCTATGATAATCTACGCCTCCATTGCCCGTGCCTATTCCTCAAGCAAACATATTCATCGCCTACAAATACAACTAAATCGCGTTTTAAAAAATGGTGTTGAACGCCCCTTTATTGTGCGCAACAGGCAACTAAATATAAGTGTAATCTCTAGTCTGTTCATAACATCTTTATTCACGGAACTGGCTAACTAGAGCAGGTGTTACGTACTAACAAGACATGCTCTTGATTAAAAATCGTTATTACACCAAGAACTCGTGACCAAAACATTTCTTAGACCTACTGAGTGAGGGGGGGAGTAGGACCTTATAAGTACAGTTTATTTTTTTTTATCCAACGGTACTGAAACTTAACTGTTCTATATGATTTATTGTTCTATTTTTTTTAAAAATCCATTTTTTTATTATTACCTTTTTTGGCTATCACGTCTTGATTAATCTGTACTATGAAGCTGAGACGATAAAGCGCGTATGTTCTGTTGATGGCGTTATGTCATGGAAGTCGAAGCTTTCGAATCCTTATTAATAATAAAGGGAAAGTAAACTGGGCTGCAATTAATTATAAATTACGCCTGTTGTAAGCCAGTGCTAAAATAAAAAACCACGACTTTGAGCATGCACGTAAATGCTCTTAACCGCTAGGCTGTTCTAATATTTTTGGATTTAAGCAGGAATAGGCCTTCAAATCTCGTTTATTCAGCTTGGTATACTTTTGTTACTAATTTTTTAATTAGAGAATTTCACATTCTTTTGACCCATGGTTTGTGTGCCCTTACATTTCTAGATTAGTAAGTTTTTGTGCTTAGTGTCAAATAATACTAAAATTTTTTTGGTTTATTTTTCGTCTATGATAGAGGGTCAAAAATTAAGTAAAAATCCTTTTTAAATTTCCAGCGTGTAGGACCTAAAATGAGTATTAACCCTTTCGTATTTTTTCTGTAACTACGTAAGCTGAGAAAACTATCGCATATACCAACTGACAACTTAATTCTATATCACCTTCGACCTATACCGCACTAAAACACCTATTCCTTACGCTAAAAAACCGAGTATACCGCATTACATGTATCGCAAAAACTAAAAATTTCTTCCTAAAAATATAATATCAGAAGATAAGTATTTAGCAAAAAAAAAAAAAAGATTTTTACTTTACTGTAATACTGCGGTAGGTAACTTAATTAAACACATATTCATAAAATAACAAAAACGCGTGAGATTTCAAAACAGTTTCTACAGATACAATTTTTAATTCAGAGTCTGAAGCATAGCACCAAACTTCGGAGTTCTCTATATACTTCTTATCTTTGTCTTCACTATAAATAGAGTCTTTCATATTATTTGCATTAAACGTTGTGCTACAAATGAAGTTTTCGTTATTATAACGGCTGTTTCGATTAAACCCAAGGGAAGAAATTTTCGAGTAGGAAACATAATGGCCACTATTCAACGTTCCTGTATGCTCGATCACACCCTGCAATTTATAAAGGCAACTAGAGGGGGTCGCATGCCTGTATTCGCCAAAAGAATTTTCTTTTGCAGGAACTTTACAAGTAGAAGAACAAAATTCTGACAAATCCAGATAAAGATGGAAAGGGACGAACCCATATAATTTTTTAACTCGAAAGTCAGCATCACAAAAAGCAAAGCGTTTTATCGCAATAGTCAACACATGTGGAAGGGTCAGAATAGCGCTCTGCCTAACTGCATCAACTAAGATGGTCGGCTGCCCTTCAGCCGCTTTTACACTTTCACTCGAATCTTCCCACTCCGCACTTTTACTACTACTACTGTGGTGTACGCGAGTACAATTTGAACATGCATATTGGTTACACCCTCTCAATTTTTCCACTTTGAAATAGTGGCGGAGTAAACAATACAAATCAAGGGGCGACGAAGTTTTTAAGGTTGGTTGATTAGAAATAAGCAACTGGAGAAAAGAGAGGTTGACAGAAGACGACATATTAAAGTTTTTGTTTCTTTCAAACAAAAGTTTTTTTCTTTGTTCGGTGACGGCTTTCTGAAGTTCAGAAGTCGTGTAGTTATCCTTTACACGAATGGTGAGCAGCGAGCCATCAAGATCGCGGACAAAGAACTGCGATATGCCACCTGATTCGGCCTTGTCAGCTGCTATAGAGGAACAGAGTGGAAGAACTACTGAAGAGTCACTGCATCGAGACACACCGTTACCCTATTAAGAGGATAATATAACAGTAAATGGAATATAAAATTCATTAACTGATATACATATAAGCACTTTTGCTTTATTAGATTTAATAATAAAATTTTTTCTGCCGGTCCCTCTATCAACAAAATGATCAGCCTTCGATAAAGAGATGTGAATATCATAAAAAGGTTCTTCAGTCGAATATTCCTGCGAGAATGGAAAAGATTTAAGGGGACCACCAAAAAGTGTGATAATAGGGTATAACCTCGTGACAGCTTAAACATTTGACCACGTGCAACAGTTTTCCTTCAAAGATTGCGCCAACAAGGGTTGAAAGTGAGCTCGTAGTAGAGTTCTCAAGATGTGTAGAGTCAGATGACTTCAGAATGTTAAGCCGGGACTTTTAGCGAGAAAAAAAGTGATAAATATACAATTTAATGAGGCTAACAGAAGCAAGAAATATTAGAAAGATGTTTAAATATTTTTAAAACTATAAATATTAAAAATTGGAAAGCCTAAGAGAAGTTCACCTGTTTTTCTTCTGAGATTAGCAATTCTAAAATAAGTCGAAAGAGCTTATGGGCATCCCCCTGTTGGTTTTTCTTAAAGTAAGAAGAACTAAATCTTATTAAAAAGGGGGAAAAGAACCAATCTATAATATAAACTTACGCCTTCTCTACTAAACCAAACAACTTTGAAGGATCGATAATACGGTCTCTCGACTCAAGCAAACCAGATTTACAATTGGCAGTGTCACAAAAGAGTTTAAAGAAAGAAGATAAGGTGCTGGTGAACTCGCCTACGGGGCGATCCCCAATGCTGCTGAGCGGGGAAGATTGGATCAAGAGATCTTTTTCATGCGTGGAAGTTAGGTAGAATACGAGAGGTCTCAAGTTCGCAAGATTCTATATAGAAAAGAATAAATAATAGTTTGAATAAAAATTACAACTTTTACCTGTAATAAGGAATTAAAATAACAGGTGTTGCCCAAGTTTTTCAAACCAACCAAAGAAAAATCAGTAGGTTTTTTGTTATTAGCAAGGTTTAGTAGGTTTTCATTACTAATAACCACATTATTATCGCCAACACTCAAAAAACTGCTACTATTTTTAGAAGTGATAGTAATATTTGGAGAAGATTTCCAGCCTTTGAGGAAAACTTTAAGAGATTTTTGTGCCCGTATAAGTTCATTTTTCCTCAAGATGGACACAACGGAATCGCAAGAATAGCAGCTAAGGGTTAGGGAAGAGCAAAAGGTGTAAGGTAAAAGGTAAAAGTTAAAAGTATTGTTGTAAACTTTTATAATCTTAGCTGTTAATTTAAAAATTAAAAAAAAAAGCATACAAAGCGAGTGAGGCGTCGAAGGACATTTGCAAAGCATGTGTTGGACTTTTAACAAAATGAGCAAAGTTATGTCTAAACGAGGAGCAGCCAACAAAACCGCAATATAGGCATACATGCAAACTAGCTTGCTCTTCACAACTCTTGGTAATAAATTTGAGCGACGTTTTTATAAATGTAAATTTCTAATATAGCAAGAATAGAATTATACAAATACACAACATGTTCCCAAAAAGGTTTTCAACCGCTTTTTAAATAACCGATAGCACACCGAATTTTTCCAATGTTGGCACCTATAACCAAGTAGGCAAGCATTACTACCAAAAGCTAAAATTTAATGAAAAACTAATATATTAAGGAAGGCAAAGACAGAAGTACCCATTATAATCCGCTTTATTTACAGAGCCAGTGGACATACGAAATATTGAATGCATCGAAAAAGCGTAGTCAACGACCTCATAAACGCACTAACCCCCTCTGGACCACGTTCTTATTTTCGGTAGCATTCTGTAGTATTTTAACTGGGTTCTATGCAAGAGTATATAGTCAAACATGTGTTCTCATAAAAAAAATAAAAGAAATAAAAATTGTTATAAAGATAAGGAACATAATAAGTAATGGGTTTTTCCGTGGCTCGATTCAGTCAACAACGAACTTATATTACTTCGAGCTCTACTGGGAACATTCCACTAGAGTTTCTAGGAAGAGCCGTATTTTTGACGGATGCTTGATCCCTTTTACTATTACGATATAAATTAAGCATAGGAAAATATTATTAAAATTACTCTGGTAAAATTTAATCAGTTTTACAAACATTGAAAAATGACTGTTAAAGGTGTGAATACAGTGAGAAACTAAGCGATAAAGCGTGTGGTTGTACTGCAGGTTGTACTGCAAAAACCTTTGTTTTATTTTGTGGTTAGTATCCAATAAAAATTATTAATTTAAATATTATCAATATGAAATGTTAAAATAGGAACCTATAAAATGTCCAAATAATAATTTTTTAATAGTAAATCCTACAGCTCCTTATAGTTTACGAAGTTTAACGAATTTTTTAAAAATTCCTAGGTAGCCGACATGCTTTTGGCAAGGTCTACGTTATAAGTTTTACAAATCAAACTAATTGCTTCTATATGTTGAGCAGTGTTTATAAAGAAAGGACTTCGAGTTTATAACTGTTTTAAATTATAGGCGAAAGATAAATTTTAGGGAGGATAAAAAATTCCCCGAAAACCGTAAAGTAGCTAATCGAGATAGATGTAATCTAAAAGAGCGTGCTATCCAGGTTTTTGCTGAGCTTTAAAATTAATACTGTCGTTAGTGTAGACGCAACGCAACTCAATTAAAAATTATCCCTTTCCTTTACCACAGCTTTAAAATAGGTGCTGCAACTCGACTAGTGGACTACAAGTATCGAAGTTAGTAATTAACACAAGAGAAATAGGGGGAAAAGAAAAAAAGCAAAGCGTACAAGTAAATTTAACATATTTTCATTTGCACAGTTCTATTTACATTCTACGACATAGTTCTAACGTTTCTTCAATAAAAATTTTATAAAGGCAAATGATATCCAGACCTCTTCTTCCACAATATTCTGCTACGTTTGTAACATGTTATCACCTCCAGCACCTAAATTGTCACTTAACCTGGGGTCAAGTCTTAGACAAAAGGCTTGCGCCCGGTTAAGAGTAGCTCACTTTTGTTATTTTCTTTAGATGAAGCGCGATCAGAGTCTCTCCTCCATAATTTTGGTTTGGCTTTAACCTTCTTGTCTTCCTAGTTTTATTCGTGGTTTTATAGCTTATTCTTTTTTTCTTTTACAATGTAGGAAGCAACTGAGCATGAAGTAGCATATAATATACTGGGTTGATGAAGACAGCAATGTTTTTTAGTAAACCCAGCTTAGTTATAGAAGAAAATACCGACGTCCCATTACAAGATTTCATCAAATAACATAATACAATACACTTAATCAAATATTCATATCATAGTAATATCAAAACAATTAATTTAAGAAAAACGCTGCCGCATTTAAACACAAATTATATATATATCTATACACTAACAGACATACTTGAAACGTCATAGACAAAATTATTCAAACAAAACATTAAGATACATGTTAAACCAAAAACCAAAACAAAGCTCATTAAATTACTTCACAGATAAAATAATCCTTGATTAACCCAATTAGTAAGTAGAAATTTATTAAAAGAAAAACATAAAAATTACTTTTTTACCAATATTAAGTAGGTCTAAAGCTTAAAACGCTATTGAAGACCAGTTAAATGTTATAAATTAAAATAATTATACGCACTATTAAGAAAGCGAAAACATAAAAGTAAGGGCTTTAAAGGAAGTGAGGAAGAATGCTAAAATGCAAACATCACGTATGCTTTCGAGTATTCTGTTTTTTTTTAATTATTACAAATTCTTCATTTAAGTAATCTATTAATTAGCTATTTACAATGATATTTTACCTTTAACGTTACAGTTCAAGTGAATAAACTTTTAATAATCTGCAATATATCTAATTTTAGTAATACTGACTAGATATACTCCAGAATCATACTAACTGAAAAAGAGCTTTTGTTAAATACTACACTTACTCACATTTTTTATAGGATAGATATGCCCATTTAAAACACTTAGAAAATGACCCATCTCTAATGTTATCTTTCTAAACAGTAAGTTAGAGAAAAGGTTTAGTATCAGCTACTTGGAAATACCTGACAAGTTTAAAAAACACAACTCGATTAAGTTACACGAGTTAAACAAATATAAGTGAAATAGTTTGTTCGAGTAACTTTTATGGTCAAACAAAAATTTAAAAATTTGACTAGGTTGTATATTTAGGCCATCTTACTAGGACCAAGAGCGTTGACGCGCAACTTCAGGGCCTTGGGTTCGATTTCCATTGGTCTTCGATGGTTGCGTGCTTAATTTTAACAAAAGATGCTCACTTAGTTGTTCACTCTTAGTTCATCACCCCAGAATGTGAGTTGACTCATCGTAGCTCGGTGACCAGAGCATCGGCGCCCAAAATCGATATCGCTGGTTCGAATTCCGTAGGGCAACTTAGACTTGCTAGTCCGAATAAGTACTTGTAAATTTTTTTTAAAATTTTTTATAATAAATTTCTCCCTTATAAAATCTCTTAACATCTGTAGGTTTCTAGCTGTCTGGGTCTATGCTTCGCTAAAGGCAAAGAGTTTAGACCGCAAGACCAGATCAGCGGCGGTGTTATTTTGGTTAGTCGTTGCTCGGGTCCTAGGTCATTTTACTCTTAAAAGTAAATTAGAGCATTCTTTTGAAAACCGTATATGATTAACTATCGAGAACTTATAATAACCCCCTTAATATATGTTATTTGTTTTTAATTTTTTTTAACTAAAAATGATCTCGCACTCATTTTATAATAAGCTGATAAATAAATTTGCCCTATATTATTAGTTGAGGTAACAAATTAGGGTGTGGTTTATACACAAACATCAAGTTCGAATAAAAAAACTGAGTTAATAAGAAATAGGATATGCGGCCTAAGTTTACGCGTGGATGCTATTAACTGCTGAGCTTCGACAAAACTCTCAACCCCAGTATAAAATTGCCGTATTTATTTTGTTAAAAAGAAAAAGCTACAACTGCTTGTTCTTTTAGAATCACGCCACTGATGGTTTTATCTTAAATGATGTATAACGCCACTATCTTACTAATATGGAAATTAATATGTGATAATATAATAATGACAATTAGTAGTTGGAGATAAAAACTGACCTCAGCTTTGTGTCAACCACAAAGCTAACAACTTATTCTTAGTTAGCCTTTCATTGAGTGAAGATCTTTTAGTAAGTCTTTATGGTAATTTTTCCACTGAATATCTTAGTTTCCTTATGTTCAATATGTGATGGTTTTATATATTTACGTGCTTAATTAAAAGGGTGCCATCCTTCCAGTTTGTTGTACTTTTACATTCAGTTACGCGCGAAAAATCAAATGAAGCCTATACTTTTGTAAACTTAATTACCAGTATTGATAAGAGGTTGAAAAAATTGTAGTTTGTAACGTTTATAATTAAGGCTCTAGCTATCATGTAAATTAAACATTAAAACTATATTACTTTTAAAAATGAAAAGTTTCGTTTACTTTTTTAGAAGAAGGAAGTACATAATTTTAAGCTTTAACTGAATTATAGAGCAAGGAAATAGCTTAGAGAGTTGTTACTTTTAGGACAAAATTTATATTAATATAGATTTCATTTCTCTTATCAATTAAAAGTTAATAATAACACTTACTCCCACATTTTAATTATTGACTAAATGTATAATCGGGGTCAAAATATCTTTTTATGGTTCAAATATATATTTAATTTTTACTATGCTTATCCTTCGGAAGGTAAATTTGATTTGATTATAAACTTTATCAACTTCCCTTTCCTATGTACGTCATGTTAAGCTTTTTATGTTATTAAAAAAACAATATAGTAATTAGTATAATTATTAATTTTATAAATATTACTTTGACCTGTAATGTTAATAATTCTTAATAAATAATTTTTTAACCTTTACTTGCCCATGACATTTAAAGAATAAAACAACGCTGTATTTTAAGGGGACTAGCTATGATGCTAACTTTACTAGCCAGCTCAATTTTGCTAAAGGTATTATTATATTGCGTGCGAGTAATACTTACATATATGTTTGCACTTATAAAAAACTGTAGTCATTTAAAATATGAACATAGTTGTACAGCTTACAATCAAAGTTGATCGCTTTTACCTCTAGGTTCCTTTAAAATTTTTAAGAACAAAGAGAATCTTACAGTTACAGTTTATGAAATAACTTTTCATGCCCTTCAAATATATCAATCAGCAATACTTTCTCTCTTGAACAATACTTTCATTGTAAAAATAATCTTATTAATTCTTTTTATGGGTTACTTTTTGAAAACAGAGAAAGTTTTTAAAAGTACCGCAGAGGTCCCCTTCGTGCCTACAACCGGTTTGTTAGAACTCGGTACCTTTAGAATTGCTTGCTTGCCTCCATAGTGTGGGCATCCTCTTCTCGGCGTTGTGGGAAATCTAATACGGATATATTCTGCTCTGAGGGGCAGCTAAAATTATGTAATTTTTTTAAGGTTTAGGGTGCACCAACAAAGAGGCTCTATAAGCTTATGGAACTATAGCCTGTGAGCCATGTAAGGAAGAAAACATTTCTACCCTTGGGAACCTCTAAGCTATCTTAAATAATTAGTATGTAGGCTTCCCGAACAAAGTGCAGGTTAATAAATAAGGGTTAAAACGTACGACAAACCTGCAAATATTTTACAATCAATGATAGCAATATGTGTAGCACTTCTTTCCGAAGTAGTAGTTAATTCCGACTTTTAAATTTTTATATTTTTAACTTTTCTCACTATTGTTTAAAGACAGTTTTTTTTTCGCGTAGTGGGCGTCAATAACAGGTAGACAAGGTGGCTTAGAACTAGACAAGGTGGCTTAGAACTGTTTATTTTATGGAATTGCGTTGCCTAGCTGATACATATAACTGATGAGGACGCCACTTTAACCTTAACAACAAACATTAACGCAAACTAAAATTGCTTATTAGTCCTTAGCGGAAGTCCTTTTAAAACTCAGAGGCACCAAACATTACGAAACATAGAGAAGCTCCGGTGAA